GCCCGACATTATCGGCATCCTCGACCGTGCCGTCGTCCGACCCCGCGGGGGAGTCGTTGTGGATCCTCACCGACTCTGCCAGGTTGCCCTGCGCCGCCTCGCCGCCTTCCTCCTGTGCCACGCACAGCTCCATGTAGGCCTTGGACTCCTCCTCTTCCCCGAGCTGATCGTACATTATCGCGATTTGCAGGAGGACGTCCGGGTCCATCTGCCCAGTAGCGGTACGACCACCCAGCATGTCGCCGCCGCTGCCGAAACTGCTACCGACTTCGTAATAGGCGTCCACGAGGAGTGCTCTCTTCAGCGCCTTGATGCCGTCTCGCTCCCGCCCCATCTTCTGGAGACATGAACCCACTGCCATCCACATCTTGCCGTCCCAGGGACGCAGCCCAGCCGCCTTCTTGTAGTACCAAAGAGCATACGTGTGCATTTCAATCATCTCATACGTCTGGCCGAGACCGTACCACGCGCGGTAATCCCTGCGGTTCACGTCGACGGCCCGCCTGTACGACTCGATGGCCGCGTGGGTGTTCTTCAGCTCGACGTATTCGTGACCCATGAGCGTCCAGGCAGACAGGCAGGATCTGTCGAGGGTCAGCGCCCGCCGGAAGTACTGCACCGCCTTGTCGTGCATGGACAGGAGTGAGTAGTAGTTGCCGATGACGACGCAGGACTCTGGGCGGAACCTGTCAATACTAGAGCAGATGTGTGCCAAGAATGCCAGCTTTGGTCGTAGGTTCAAAACGTATAAGATATTAGAGTAGTGGTCAAGGGAGTCGAGTCTGTGCGGATGTAGAGAGAGTAGTCGGCCGAAATGCTGCTCTGCAGCCATTAGGTCCTTGGAATGGTACGCCAACAAGGCATTACATGTGAGGAGGAAGGAGGATGTGGGGAATATGGAGAGAAGCTGCTCCAGAGAGCTTGCTAGGCCTGACGACTGTTGGTAAAGCTCTAGCGAGGTGTGTAGGTGAAACATGTATGAAACAATATTCTGAGGGCATTCGGCCAGGATTTGGTTGAGCTAGAAGTAAAGATTTAGCAGTGAAGCAGTTGGTTTGGCTGGCAAAGGCGACATACATCCTCGACTCTGGAAATGAGAGACGTCATCTCTAACCAGCAACCCCAGTTCATGGTATATTTATGAACGCTTTGGATAAAGTAGCTCAGGGCCTTCTTATCGTTCTTTTCTTTCGCGAGAACCATTCCGTAGCTATAGATTTGTTAGTTTCACTTCGCTCTCCCATCAGAGCAAAGGACCTACAGATACTCGAGCCAGCCCTGACTGCCAGCAATATCGCCCTCCTTGGTTTCCCGCTCCTCAAACCAAGTTGAAAGGTAGCGCCCGACAACAAGCAGTTGCTTGTTGAGAATTGACCCCGCATCTTGAGGACCCATGACCATTTCGGTGTCCTCGTTCCTCCTCTTCTCTCCGGATAGAAACTTGGCATACAGGGCAAGAAACAAGCTCTTCTGGCTGATCTTGGGCAGTTTTACAGGTGTGGAGGTTCGATTCGATGTTGTAGCCTTGGCCTTGCCCTTTGTCTGAGCTGCGGTAGGCTCGAGCTTGGAGTTGAGCACGCTGGAGAGAAGCGAGTCGGGGAGAAAGACGGCGGCGCAACGGTCATATTCGCGGCAGTCGAAGAATGATTTGGCGAGGAGGTATTTGCTCAGCTCTTTCGCTTCTAACAAGGCCTCCTCGGGGTCCGAGTTCGGGGTATATATCGGGGAGGCAGACTGTCCTTCGATGGTAACATCCTGCTCTTCGGTTTCGGGAAGCGCATTAAGAAGTTCGGCGGCCCTGGCTTATGGATTAGCAACCTGATAAGTGGTCAATGGGATCAGCTTCCAGTAATAAGAGCTTACCATTTTGAGGATTGATACAGGCATCTCTCGGAGCACTTCACCACTGCGTCTTGCAGGGCAGCCCGGAGCTGTGCTATTTCGTTTGCACTCAAGGACATGGTTTTGTCGAGGTAAGAACCAAGGTCCTATATATCAGAGTCGCGACTTTCCAGGCTGGACACTCCCCGGTGACAAAACAAATCTTGAACTCATAAAATCATAAGGCAGCCATTTTCGTCGTTGCTCGTTCAAACAGGTCCGTGATACCCTCAACGCGCCCAGTGACGATATGTAATACCTAGCCACAGCTGTCGCGTTGATATGATACTGTGCCCATTCCAGCCACACTGTCCTGTGTTATCGTCCCTGCGTAGAATCAGTGCGTGACTTGTCGCACAGTCTCCACACTGTGCCTTCTACTTGTCTCGCAACAGCAGCACAACATGCTACTGGCCCCACCTAGCGTATTCGTTATCGTTTATCGGATCTCCAATAGGTCGGTCAGCGCTGCCCCGCGATTGTGCAGGATGGGACAGGCAGGGGCACGGGGGACATAAAAAAGTGAGGCAGCAACTGATCTGTTGGGCCAGATATGTAGCTCCCGGGTGCATTATCCAGACTGGGAACAGTACTACCGTAATAATAAAAGTTGCTATCATATATGTCGGAATACCTATTGGTTGATTGGCCTGCTGTATCATGTTTTTTTTGTCGGTTGGGAGTCCTAAAACCCCCGAGATTAGGTCCACGGCGGGGTATTCTTTGGGCAATTGATAAATAGAGGGGCACTTTCCAAAATATGTTCCTGGCGAGCTTAACTATCTTCGACTAGCACGACACCTCCTTTGTTTCCCCAGCAAGCGAGAGAGCGCATTTCTTTTGGCGAGACGATCAGTGTCTGACTTCCTGGATTACCTTGTTTCTTTATTCAAACCAATTCGACTACCAAGCTGTTCAAGATGGCGCAGAAGACTACCCTCAAGGAGTTCGAATCCGTCTACCCCAAGCTCGAGGAGGCTCTCCTTGACCACGTCAAGTCCTACAACCTCCCCAAAGAGCAGGTGGCATGGTTCAAGAAGGTAGGCAACCTTTCAGAGTTTCCACGCCTCAATTCCAAGTTCCCAATTTGAGTTCACAGTGAGCTAACCGCTGCCCCTCCGCGTAGAGTCTTGAGGTCAACCCTCTCGGCGGCAAGTGCAATCGCGGCATGTCTGTTCCCGACTCAGTCTCCCTCCTCCTCGAAGCCCCCTTGACCGAGGACCAGTACTTCCACGCCGCCACCCTCGGCTGGATGACTGAGCTCCTGCAGGCCTTCTTCCTCGTCTCCGACGACATCATGGACAGCAGCATCACCCGCCGCGGACAGCCCTGCTGGTACCGCCAGGAGGGCGTCGGCATGGTCGCCATCAACGACGCCTTCATGCTCGAGGCCAGCATCTACTACCTCCTGAAGAAGTACTTCCGCTCCCACCCGGCCTACGTCGACCTCTTCGAGCTCTTCCAGGAGACCACGTTCCAGACCGAGGTCGGCCAGCTCACCGACCTCCTCACCGCCCCCGAGGACAAGGTCGACCTCAACAACTTCTCCATGGAGAAGTACAGCTTCATCGTCATCTACAAGACGGCCTACTACTCCTTCTACCTCCCCGTCGCCCTGGCCCTGCACCAGCTCAACCTCGCCACCCCCAAGAACCTCAAGCAGGCCGAGGCCATCCTCATCCCCCTGGGCGAGTACTTCCAGATCCAGGACGACTACCTCGACAACTTCGGCCTCCCCGAGCACATCGGCAAGATCGGCACCGACATCAAGGACAACAAGTGCTCCTGGCTCGTCAACCAGGCCATCGCCATCGCCACCCCGGAGCAGCGCAAGGTCCTCGAGGACAACTACGGCCAAAAGGACGACGCCAAGGAGGCCGCCATCAAGAAGCTCTACGAGGAGCTCAAGCTCAAGGAGCGCTACGAGGCGTTCGAGGAGAAGCGCGCCGGCGAGCTGCGCACCCTCATCGACAACATTGACGAGAGCGAGGGCCTCAAGAAGACCGTCTTCACCGCCTTCTTCGACAAGATCTACAAGCGAAGCAAGTAAAAAGACAGAGAACCGAGTAGCTAAGTGTGGGCACGAGGCAACGAACTTACGGAATGCGAGTAGATTTTTAATAGAAAAAAGGGAACAGCCTGATTTCTGAGACGTAGGAATTGAGAAAATGACATATAGATACTAAAACACAACCCCAAAGTTAATAAAGTACATATTGAAAGAATCCCCGCTGAGACTCGAAAGGAAACCAGTCAAATATTTCCCATCACTCCTGTTTAAACATTCATTCCCTTGGACCATTCGTTTTTGATTTCCTTGCTGACCCGTCCTGACTCCATTCTCCTGGAAGAGGTATCCAAAACATATTTTCGCACACTATCATCAAGTTTTTTAAA